TTATAAGCATCCCCTTCCTTTCACGCTAATAAATTACGTTTACTCTCCAGAGGTCATACACTCGCCCAAGAGTACTTGATATTCCTCGGGGCGGGGTATACGCAACCCCTTCTTTGCACGCTAATAAATTACTTTTACTTCCCGACATTACACACTCAGATTTATAAAACAGTTAACGAAAAAGTATATGATACCTACTATCCAATAATCATTAATATTTATTTTGAAAAATTGATATTTTAATAATAGTTATTTTGTTTCGAAATGCAATACATTTCCTAAGGTAATTTTTACGACCAAATAAGTCAATTTTAATAGCGACACTTCTGCATAATTAACATGTTTTCTTTTTCAAGATGCTCCGACAAAAACAGAACCGGGAGGATTCATCGGATATCCCAATCACTTCGCCGGCCTGGAGCCCCCTCAGATGTTCTTGTCACACCAAAACGCCGGCGTTAACCCGATCGACAGGCTGTATTCCATGCAAAACTCGTACTTTTGCGAAGAACAAAACAGCATGGAATAGGCAATTAAAAAATTTTTAATTAGTTTTTTTCATCAATTGTCTTATGACAGAATAATTTTGGCAAATTAAAAATGTAAATAAAAACATATTGTATCTAAATAATTGGGTTTTGTTGTTGTTAAAATGGTCTTTATTGGTGCGTTTTGATCGCTATCTAGTCATTGTATATAGCATTTATAAATCATCCTTAGTTGTATGTTTTTAAAACTAACTCATCCAACCTTTGGTTTTTCTTTTTGTAAAAACTTTTAATTAAATAATTTCTAAACAATTATTTCTGTTTTTACTACAATCCACATTGACACTCCTTTTACTTTTATACAATAACGAATTTAGAATTTAAACGAACCTAAAAGCATCTACCGTAAAAGATGAAGCCTGAAAATTCCTCCAAAAGCACCTAGCAACTTGATCAAAATCTCAAATGGAGAAAATATATGATAAATGCAAATATTGAAAAATATATTTGAAACTTTTGGATCTTGAGGATTAACAGTGAAGAATGGTGAAAGGTTCCACCAAGACAGGAAATACGATGGAGCAAAGGTACCAACGAAGGCATTGACTATGTCTGGAACGTACGTCATGTATTAAGCATTTAATAAATATTGGATTTTTTTTAAACCAATTTTTCAATATTTTTATATCAGTTTAATTTTCTAATTATACATCTCTCTATTTCTCTCATCCTTAGCCATCTTCTATCAGTTCTCACTAATTTACTCTTTTTCACCCTCTCACCTATCTGTTTGTCCGTCTCCCACTTTCTATGTCTATGTACACATTGATACTCGTTTTGAATTTAGAATAAACTTAAAAGTACTCGCATAAAAGATGAAACCTTAAATATCTCTAAAGAAACTAAGTCGACTTGACCAAACCCTCAAATGGAGAAAAGCTTTTTTAATCCTTTTTAAAAAAAGATAGTTCCTATTCACAGTAAGTTGATTTGCAATGATCCGGATTTCGAGCCCTTAGCTCATCATCAGGTTGAAGGAGTTCTACAACCACGTCTCTCGACATGAATTGCAAAAGTGAAACCGCTGATACCCCCTCCAACGCGACGTTCCAATGAGAAGCTGGTTTTTAATGCCGCTCAATTTTGAACGTGCGAAAAGCGGGAATTATAACACAAATGAATATATACTGTAAGAAATTAATTATAAATTAGGGATTAAAGATAAAAGATAAAAAATTAGAATAATACCTTAATAATAGATTATTAAATTGCGATAAAAATAATAACAATTAAAATAATTATAATTATTTGTACGATTAATATTATTTATGTACATATTTAAAATGGGAGGTAGATCAAAATCTGTTATATTGTTAATGAATTTAGCTCCATGTTCAATTTTAAATTTTTTAATTTCAAATTTGTCAAACCAATCTAGTTCTCTCCCTTTGTTGAAACTATGTAACATTGTTGTATTTAAATTTGAATTGAAATTATGTTTGTTTCTTTTAGATGGTCCTTAAATTCCGAAAATTTGTTCGCTTTAGGCAAATGTTTTTTTTACTCTCGTTTTTATTTCTTTACCGCTTTGTCCTATGTATTTAATATCGCAATCATTTCAGTTAAGTTGGTAAACCCCGCTGTTTGCCTAGTTGTCTAGCTTGTCTTTAGGTTTTGAGAGGATGATTATGCGGGCTTGTAGATCTCCTGATGATCAGCTAAGGGCTCGAAATCCGAATCGTTGCAAAACAACTTACTGTGAGTAGGAACTATCTTTTTAAAAAGGATTGAACTTGGGGTCGTCGGTGGCCGCAAGGTTTAGTCTTTGACACGGCGCTCATCACTGTAAGGTAAAGATCCCGGGTTCGAATCCAGCGGCCCTGCATTCGAATCCGACATACTTACAAATGGTTTTTTTTTTTTTTCAAAAACACCGGCACCCTGAGGGTTTATATGACCTCTGCTGTTGCGAACCCTCGGGAAAAAAATTGAACAGGGCACTCACTCCACCATTCATCATTTCTATTAAAAGCTTTTTTTAGATCTGGTACGCAATTGCAAATTTGAGAGACAATGGCAGGGCTACTTTAACCACAACCAGAACGTCTTTAGATTGTTTATAGTGAATAGTTTTTGGGAAGTGGGAAAAAGTAAAAAAAAATTAGCCAGGAGAATTCACAAAATACATTTTGAGGGCCCAAGTTGTTAATAAATAAATAAGATTATGTACATTTACGGACCAGAAATTATAGGAATATCACAAATACTTAATGAAATAACACAGATTAAGGTAATAGGCTCCTATCGCTCTGCAATGGGCACTCCTGCTGGCAGCACATCTGCTGAAGAAGCTAGCTTGATGACTTCACCTGCATGGCATGGTCTTCATTTTGGTCGTCTGGAGGAGGTGACAATCCTCAAAAACTTAGTTTGGATCAGACATGTTGAGGTTTCTCCAGCAAGTGATACCCAAGCAAGCCACGCGTACAGAAGCATGGGTTTAACAATGCTGCTGTAGTCTTTAGAGGAGTTTTTGGTTAAAAGTACTTATCATGAAGTGCCATGAAAGTTTGGAAACAGCAGCCTGATAGCAGTTTTTCCGCGGTATGTTTTATCTGCCACATGACTGGTGAACGTCAGACTGCTATCCATTGTTAAGCCAAGATATTTTACATAGACCAGGAAATGCGATTTCCTGCTGCCATGACATGGTCGATTTCTGCAGGTCTTCTTTTGGTGAAGATAATGTCTTCTGTTTTGGCGGAGTTGATTTTAATGTTCCATATTTTGTGCTGACCTTTCTTGTTTCTGTGTTTGGCCTCCATGAAGTTCTATATACAACATATAGTAACTACAAATATTTAAAAATATATCCGATTCTGTTAAATTGTATTGGATCTGGAGGATTACGGTAAAAGAAGTATTCAAAGTTTCCATCAGGATCCGCAAAACGATGGGGCAAAGTAACAACGAAGACGTTGCCATGATAGAAGACTAGTTATGGAATTTCATGAGTACTATAATTAATAAATATTTTATTTTTTCCAATTGCAAATTGTCAACCTGCTTCCAACAGTTTTTAAAAAATATATTGTCAATTTTTTATATAAATTGCATTTTTTAATTATTCAACTCTCCCTCTCTCTCTCTCTCTCTCTCTCTCTCTCTCTCTCTCTCTCTCTNTCTCTCTTTCTCTCTCTCTTTCACCCTCTTTTTCTTTCTCTCTCTCTCTCTCTCTCTCTCTCTCTCTCTCTCTCTCTCTCTCTCTCTCTCTCTCTCTCTCTCTCTCTCTAGCTTTCTCTTAATTTTTCTTTATATCTGCCTCGTTTCTTTCTATTTTTTCTATCTCCCCCTCCCTCTCTCACACTTTCTTTCTTTCTTGCTCTCTCTTGCCCACTCTCACTCTCTCTGTCTTCTTATTTCCTCTTTCTCTTGAAATATTGGGTCACGAAAGCGTGCAGAGTGGAGGAATTAAAACGAGTGTCTTTAAAAGTTATTTCTGTCAAAAGTTTATTACCCGCACTGATGCGGATGAAGCGTGCGACAAGGTTTGCAGAGGGAAGTCCGGATGGTCGAGAAAGTCCAAGAGAATGACTTTGCAGTTTTTGCGGTACCAAATGTACCACTGGTGGAAATGATACTGGATCCTAATGGCCCCCCAAGATAGGACGCCCAAATCCAGGAGCAAAACGCCGCTCAAGAGCACCATCTGCAGGACCCGAGTCATAACCGCTTCCCCCATCTAAAATCATTTAATAAAATTGTGTATTGTTAAGAGAAAATATCAATTGGACAAACCTTGATTTGCACATCGGGCGAGAGCACGTTGTTAGCGACACGCAAGCCGAGAATGGAGCAGAGTATCATAAGTGGTAGCAGAACCATCAAAGTCATTATGTCCCATAAAAGCATCCTCCTTTCCGGTCCACTCGACGGACACAATAACCAGGCAAAAATCGATGAAAATACCATGTACCTGTAACAAAAAGTTTTTTTTTTTTGAAAATTATTGTAATATCTCTATCTCGTTTTCTCTTTATCTGTCTCTCACTCTCTCTATCTCTTTCTATTACTTCTCACACTCTTTCAACCCAGTCGCTATACCTTAAAGTCCAGAGAGAGATATTTTAAATAACACAAAGTGCATTCGTTCTCTCTTTCTTTTATTATGTCTTTTCACCCTTCCCCTTTACCATTCTCTGTCTCTCTCCCTCTCCCTCTTTCCCCCTCTTGTCACACTCTCACTCCTTTCCCTCTATTTTCAAGTCCAGAAAATCCAGGGGAGAGAGAGAGAAAGAGAGAGAGAGAGAGAGATTTTAAATAAAACGATATGCATTCGTTTTCTCTTTCTTTTATTATGTCTTTTTGCCCTTTCCTTTTACCACTCACTCTCTCCCTCTCCCTCTTTCTCTCTCTTCTCACACTCGCACTCCTTTCTCTCGACCTTTAAGTCCAGAAAGTCTAGGAGAGAGAGAGAGAGAGAGCGAGAGAGAGAGAGAAAGAGAGAGGGAGAGAGAGAGCTTTTAAATAAAACGACTTGTATTCGTTCTCTCTTTCTTTTATTGTCTTTTTTACCCTTTCCCTTTACCACTCACTGTCTCCCTCTCCCTCTTTCTCTCTCTTCTCACACTCGCACTCCTTTCCCTCTATTTTCAAGTACAGAAAATCCAGGAGGGAGAGAGAGAGAGCTTTTAAATAAAACGATATGCATTCGTTCTCTCTTTCTTTTATTATGTCTTTTTACCCTTCCATTTTACCACTCTCTGTCTCTCTCCCTCTCCCTCTTTTCCCCTCTTGCCATACTCTCACTCCTTTCCCTCTATTTTCAAGTCCAGAAAATCCAGGAGAGAGAGAGAAAGAGAGAGAGAGAGAGAGATGATGATGATGAATGATAAACCAGTTTTGATCAGTTAGAATTTGGTTTTTTAAGTCAAAATACATCATTTATTTTCAACTGTAATGTGAATCGACGTTCGATTTTTATCATGCATCTTTGTTATGGTAAGCACCTCAAGCATAACTGGTTTAATTTATGGTGGCTAAGATTGGAACGACTTACTTTGGTAAACGCTGGGTTCTGTACGTAAATCCGCATAATTCACATTGAGTGCTGTCACTCGCAGCTAGCCATGTTTCAAGACAACTTTTATGAACCAAATATAAAGATCCTTTGCACATACAAGGAGAGATGAACCTTTGCTTGTTTCCTATTTCGTGGCAGATCCTGCAGAAATAGACGTCCTTTCTGAAATTGAAAAAATGTAATGCGTTCGTTCTCGAATCGTTCAACCCGTCATCACCTTTTGGACAGACCCTCGTAATTATTATTTAAATTATCCGCTTCGAGAGCTAAATTCATTAAACAAATGAAATTATTTGGGAAAAAAGTTGTTTTTAAATGGGTTACCGTTTTCGATTTTGGTAAGTGTTTCGTTTAGAAGCGTGGTGATAAGTTGGCATTGCTCACTTAGTTGTTCATTGTCGTTCCAGTCTCTTTTGATTTGGTTTCCGAGCTCGTCCCCGTTCGGCTCGGATTCATATTGCAACAAATCGGATGAATCGTCTGTGTTTGAGTCTTGGTCGATATCCTCGTAGCATTCGTCATGTTCGTTTTGACACGTGCAGGTTTCCGTCTGTCCCGGTTGTGTCTCGGTCTGGCAGAGCTGCGGTCCGCTCTGTTTCTCGTTGCCACGTCGCCTAACGCGAGAATTAAAAGCGGCTCCGCTGCCCTCGGCCTCGGTCCCTCTCTCAGGGGCGTTCATGAAGATGATTTATGATCTCAGAACCCGGCGTCGCATAAATCTCATCACTATTGATCTGGAAATTAAAACCGTCATACTTTCAACCCACTACGCCCGTCGTACTATAAAATTGACTTGTTTTTCCGGAGGATTGGCTACTTACATTTTGCACAAACCGTCACACTCATGAAATATTGTTACGTTCACATCGCGAAATTTTGACTACTGCATTGTCAACATAAACAGCTGTTTTAAAACCTCTCTATTCCCACATTTTATTATCCATTTTAATAATCGATGTGTTATTTTTATATTTAATCTAAAATTGTGAAAAAGGAAGGGAGTACCTGACTCTCATCTAATGCAAAAATTGACCTCCTCGAGTATATTTTTTCCTTCAATTAGTTAAGGTTGTTAGTTGAGATAAAAAAGTCAGTGTCACGAGCGGGATTCGAACCCATGATCTTCGGCCAGATTCGCCGCTGCCCTACCACTTGACCTCACATGAGGTTGGGTTTAGGATTCTGGTTGGTTTTGTAAGTAAATAAATAACTTTATTTTCTTTTTATTTCTTTACGTACGACTCATAAAAGAACTTGGATATACACGAAGAAACATAGAAAAGAACATCAGTTTTGATCCAGCGTGATGCTCTTGACGCGGTCATATTGAAATATGTATTTCCTGCTCTACATAGCATAAAATGAGAAGACATTTTACATCAGACCAACCTTTGCATGTACAGCACAAAATTGAGCTAGAATCATCAATATATTTGTTTATAAAGTTCGTAGTCCGATTGACCGAATAACGTTTTTCAATTAATTAATCTTTATATAAAGTTCACTAATTTCGTGGTCCGCTTGACCAATCAATATATTACAATTAATTAAGGTTTTTTAGTCGAGATTAAAAAAATGGCAAAAAGGAGGGAAAATTCAAAAGGTGGGCTAGAGATGAAAAGTTAGTGTCACGAGCGGGATTCGAACCCACGACCTTCGGCTAAATACGCCGCTGCTCTCCCACTTGAGCTATCGTGACTTCGAATTTACCCGAACGTCGTGGGTTCGAATCCCGCTCGTGACACTGACTTTTTTATCTCAACTACAAACCTTAATTAATTGAAAGATATTAATTGTTCAAGCGGACCACGAAAACTAGTGAAAATATTTATTCCTTCGGATTCCCTTACTAAATTTAATTAAATTCTATCTACTTGTCCATTAAGATTTAATGGTGATATTACATGATGGTATTTTGAAAATATTTTAATTATCAAAATGGATCATACAAAACAAAACGCGACCCTAAATCCATAAAAAATATGATGATTCAAATTTTAATTCATTTTTTAAAGATTCTAATTTTATCCACCTATGCTCTAGTTTAACTTTTGCAAATTAATATTATTAATATGTAAATATTTTTATATATTAATAATATATTCAAGGAAAAGCTTATACAGACTCCAGAAACAAATAAATTGGACTGAATCTCAAACTATCTGGATGCAATATTAACAAATTCTTGAAAATGTGTACTGACATTTTTGATCCAGGAAGCTCCTTATGAAAGGATTGATAACGATCACTAAAAGGGTTAAACAACAGGAGGTACACAAATACACTTCTGTTCCTCACAGAAGATGACGCATTGCCGAAATGCAATGGTTAGAGGCTCCAAAACCAGAGAAAGTACCGGGTCAGGTTTCTGTTCAAACGTCTTCAAGCTGAAATCCAAGCTGCTAATGTATTTTTCATACAAAATGCTCAACTGGCAAAAAATCATCGTAAGACAGACAGCCAAGAAGCTGTAAAAGTATTATCACGTAAAATTTCACATCAAAAATAGTCGAATGCATCAACATCTCTAAAACCTGTGAAAATATATCAGCCTGTCAATACATTGGGTTCCAGGGCAATTCTAATTAATGAACAAGCAGATAACCTAACTGTACCAACCAAGACCAGAACTTAACAATAGGGATAACAAGATCATCTCAGAGTGGGTTCACACAAAACAAAATTAAAAATATACGAATTTAGAGGTATAGTGAACTTATGGTTAAAGAACCCTCGTTAAAACTAGTAACACATTGCTACGATTATATAGAGCACATCTCGCTCTATTTCGGACACTGTCATCTGAGAATCCACTTTATGAATTTTTGGTAACGAACCAAGTACCAATAGTAGAGTTCCTACAAGTGTCAGACATACTAAACTCACTAAAAATAGCAGACACATTGCTACTGGGCAAAACAGAAGGAATGATTGAACTTAAATATACTGGGCACAGACATCTGAGAAAACCCCTACCTAACCAATTTTGAAAAATAAATGGTCTGACAAACTGGCTAGAGACCAACTCTATACAAACTAGAATGTATACTCGGGATGATAGAATCAATCACAAGATTCTCCATCTCAGAATGGATTCACAGAAAAGAGGAAATGGACGAACTGTATATGTGCCACACACAGTCAAGTTATAGTTAAACAGACCTTGTCAAAACTAACATAAAGACTGACATAGTAACTCTGGAGAGTTATTGGCCTTTATACTGGCCCCACTACGTCATAGATGCATTCAAAGATAAACCCATTTGTTGGTTATGCAATGAGGAGGAAACTCGAGGGAGAAGGTCTATAACAGCATTAGCACGTAGACTAAGACACCCAAAGTAGTCGGTGAAGAAATCTAAAACAACAGCCTAACAATCGGTGCGTGCGGGACAAAGTGATTTTTGTTACTGAACAAAGAGACCAACTGGCCAGAGGATCATTTTCAATATATTCCTAGAGCCTATAAAAATATCAAACCTAAACTCTTTTTACAGAATGGGTCCATACAATAAAAAATTAGAAATACATTAATTCAAGAGTTGATGGACATAGTGATACAGCTAAACAGGGATTCAGAGGAGTGGTTGGGTTCCATACCGGGCACTCGCATCTGAGAACGCAAACACCCGCCTAAACAAATTGAGTTAGGTATGGTGTACCGACTGGGTGAGGATCTGGGAGACCAACTATATTCCCAGAATTTAAAATTGGGGTAACAATATTAAACATAAGATCCTCTATTACACAATGTGTCCTGAGAAAACAAAAGAGGAGAAACGGATTAACAGGTGATCATAGTAGTGATTAAAGAAAGCTCGTCAAAATGAGCGAACACATTGCTACAGCTAAAAGGGGTAAAACTCAAAAGAATGAATAGATTTCATGCATTCGCATCTGAGAACACGCCTACTCAAACACCAGCCTAAAGAAATTTGGATCTCCCAGACCAACTATAATCCCAGGACCTAAAATCGGGTTTAAAAGGTTAAATATAGGATCGACTATTTTACAATGGATTCACTTTAAACAAAGTTGGAAATGGAGCGCTCTAGAAGTGCTGGTGTAGATAACCTTTTGTAGGTATTCAATTAAGTGGAAGAACATTCCACCGTCTCTCAATGCGAAACGCTCAATTGAAACATAACCTACGGTTTCAAGCAAAACAATTGCAGAATCAGCCGATGACCGTCTCGATCTTAAAAGAAGGATCAAGTCAGTAGAACTGAACATAAGAACTAAGAAAAGTACAAGCCAGATGACCATTGTATAATGCTTGGGGTGTACCAAACCCCAGCTTTCTAGTTGAGCCATCTTTAATGGGTTAATCCCGGTAAATGTTTTAATTTTTTAAGACCTTTCAAGATCTTTTTAATCTAATTAGTTAATCTACGGAAGAGGTCAACACAGAGAAAAACTTCCTTTCGGTTTTCGCCGAGCTTTCGACAGTTTTAATACTGTCATCTTCAGGGCCTGTTTTATTATCATATTAAAAAAAACATGAAAAACAATTTGCACAAAAATTGAAATATCTTACTTAAACCTTAATGGGGAAATAAAAAGACATGGTGTTTTGGGCACAGAAGTACATTACGTTTTTCTTTTTTTTGGTGCTCAGCATGTAAACATTATTTAAATTAAATAAATTAATAATTAAAAATTACAACTATAAGTACAATAAAAATTAAAAAACGTGGTCGAGAAAAGGTTACCTCATAAGGAAGATATTTCAATTTTTGTGCAAATTGTTTTTCATGCTTTTAATTGTTTTTTTTTTATATGATAATAAAACAGGCCCTGAAGATGACAGTATTAAAACTGTCGAAAGCTCGGCGAAAACCGAAAGGAAGTTTTTTCTCTGTGTTGACCTCTTCCGTAGATCCTCCGAAAAAACTTCATGTTTCCAGCAGGTCGATAATCTAGCTCATCGTTACTAACTAGTTAATTTTATCTTTATGAAAATGAACGAAAGATTTATCTAGGTCGTAAGTTTTAACCATATCTGATGTATCCCTCCTGTTTAAATTTTCTATAACCACCATTATTTTAGATGCTTTCTTTTCTAGAATGTGGGTCCTTCCTGCATTCTTTCAACAAATTAAAATTTCCCTAGTTGAGAAAATCCTACGAGATGGAATATTGATATTACACTAGTTTCTTATGAAAGCACAGAAGGATCCATCATATTCTGAGACAGTGATTAGTTACAGGCTATTGCTATACAACGAATGAAAATCCGCCATTATTTTCTTACAATCCGATTACAAAGTTTACATCACGATTCATTAGTAGAAATAACAATGTAATGAATAAAACAGCGCAAAGACTGAGAAAATCATCGAGGTAGTTTAGGAAAATACTTGTAATTATAGGCTGCGTAAGGAGTTCAGTAATACTTCGTCCAAGTTTAATGCTAGGGAAACAATTTGAAGGGGGTTTACGTTGTTGGAACTTAGTTTACTCTAGAGTTTAGACGAAGGCTTAGTTTCATGTTAACGCCACGGCTACAAGTTTACATCAGGTTTTTATTGAACAAGATCATCTACTTAGTCTAACTAAACGACAACTATTTCTCCCCCTTCTTTTCTCCGAGGACAATGCGTCAGGTTTGACAAGACAAGTACAATGTGCTTTGAGTCAATAAAAACAGAGCATGACATTCCAGGCGGGTCAAATTTAATCGAGAAACAGAAAAAGGGGGGGCAGCCCGCTGAATGGGATTAATAAACGTAGAGAAGGATGACACAGAGTCGGATTGACAAAAGAAAGTGTCATTAAGTCCCCACGGCGGGACGGTTCAAGCCGGGGGTCCTTTTCATTAGATTCACAGGCATGCATGGCAGAAACACCTGCTTCGAATCGACACCTGCATCGAATCCATCAGATTTGCCGGATTAACGAGGGACTTAGCGTACTTCCACAA